AACGATTTTGTTGGACCCAATTTGTAACTTTTCTAATTTCTGCTTTTTTGACCACTGTTTTGACATCAACAAGTTTTTTTTTTATATCTTTTTTATTTCTGGGGGTTTTAGCTGTGGAAGTTTGATCTGATCACTGTAGCTTTAAAGTATGTTGGTGACATGTCGGTGAAACTTTTAGTTCCAATTTTGGGTCTTTGTTTGCCACAGGGTATAGGCTCCATCACATGTATGAATATGATCAGCTATGGTCAAAATCCCAGTCCCAAATTCTTTATAGGATGCAAAATGCAGCCACTGACAGATTAATGTTTGCATCCAATTGTTTGATCATCAATTAGAATTTGCTTGGTTTACTTTTTAAGTTATGATTGCATAATACTTGGCAGAGAACTTAGTTGGGAAAGGTGGCCAAGCAGAAGTTTACAAGGGGCTCTTATCCAATGGTCAAATTATAGCTGTAAAGAGGCTAATGAAGAAAGAGAAAGAGAAAGAAAATGAGGATAGAGTTGGTGATTTCTTAGGAGAGCTTGGGATTATTGCACACATAAGCCACCCGAATGCTGCTCGGTTGCTTGGGTTTGGCATCGATGGTGGTTTGCACCTTGTACTCCAATTTTCCCCACATGGCAGCTTAGCTTCTCTACTTTTTGGTATGATATTTATCTTCTGCTTTTCTTAAACTCTGTATTTCCTCCAATGTCATTGTTTGGCTTACAGAGTAAGCACATATTTATTTGGCTGATGAAAGATATTCTGCATACCAGGTTCAGAAGAATCTATGGACTGGAAGGTCAGGTTTAAGGTAGCAGTTGGGATAGCAGAAGGCTTGCGATATCTCCATCACGAATGCCACAGGCGCATTATTCACAGAGACATCAAGGCCTCTAATATCCTACTAACCGAAGATTATGAAGCTCAGGTATTATTATTGTTGTTGTTCAAGTCTGTTTTTTCATATAATTTGTTCTTAATGGATTTTCTAAACATAGAAGGAGTTCTATTTTACTGTTGCTGCAGATATCTGATTTTGGACTAGCGAAGTGGCTCCCAGAAAAATGGACTCACCATGTTGTATTCCCTATTGAAGGCACATTCGGGTTAGCTTGCAGTTTCAATTATTCATTTGTTATGATTGCTCACTTTCATCTGTCATAGATGTTTGGCCTTATGGATCTTCAAACTGTTTCAGGTACTTGTCTCCAGAGTATTTTATGCACGGGATTGTTGACGAGAAGACGGATGTATTTGCATATGGTGTTTTATTACTGGAGCTCATAACAGGTCGCCGCGCAGTTGATTCAACTCAGCAAAGCCTTGTGATATGGGTATGCATATATTATGCTATAGCCTAGCATGTTTATGCCCCTTAGCCAAGTCCAGATGGTGGGTTGGAAAAAAGAATTGGCATTAGGATACGTCACAACTCCAACTCCATCTCAATGTAACCAAAAAAACGTAGAAAGTTTATCACTGAACAATCAAAGGATGCACAAATTTTTCAAGGGTTAAGTCTGCTTGACTATCTGTAGGCTGCAGGGTTTTGTATTGAACAATTCCGTTGTTATGAGTTTAGATAAGATGAACATGTTCCATGAAAGATGATATGAGTGATCATTTTTGTGTTATCCACAGGCGAAACCACTTCTGGATGCTAGTAAT